GCCATCGCAGAGCCGTGGGCAGCAGGAGGGTGGGGGTGCCGGGGGCACGATGTGTAAACGTCCCTTGCTTTCTGGTACCTGCCAGGGCTGCCCCTCGTGAGTGTATATTTCGGTTAACGACAGTCTGCTCATTTCTGGATAAATCCAAAATGCAGAGCTTCAGGACTGGAAGGGTCAAGGACAGAGGAGATGGCTCCCAGGTCCCCCTGGTCCAGAAAACCATTCCGGAGCGGCCAGCTCCCGGCGCGCGGCAGGTGCAGCTGCTGTGATGGTCAGTTCCTGGCGCCCGTCCTCCAGGCTCACGAGGGAAAAGAGGGAACAAAGTGTGAGGGTCTCTGGGACGGTTTTGGATCCTTGGGTGGCGCCTGAGGCCCTCCCTGCTGCTGCCTACACTCCGGTTTTAAGTCCATCAGCCCCCTCTTCCTGGAACAGGAAAGGTACTAACGCTTTCTTCCTGCTGTCAGCCCCTTCGTCCGTGCTTTTACCAAACAAAAATCTCAGGCTGAAATTTCAGAACTGTTCACGCCAAAGAAAAAATGGAATTCGTGTTTGCTTTTTCAAACTACAGATACCCTCCTTCCAGGATTCTGACACCCCACTCATCCCCTTGGGAGGGGCCTCGGCTGTTCGTGTTCTCGTGGCCGCCCCCCGGGAGCTCTGTGCTTGCCGCAGTGCTCGGCTGGAGCCAGAAGACTTAACAACTCCCCTAGCTGCCTTGACTGTTCCCTGTAGCTTCACTCCTTACAGTCACCCTCGTATCTGACCTTCTCGCGGCTGGAGCGCTTGCTTGTGTAATTGGGGCTCATCTTATTTCTAGTAATTTCATTGAATTGCTTTAGGGGGTCAGAGGTGTGCCGCCTCCCTTTGATGTTTCTGCCATCCTTACGTTTCAGAGAGATGTTCCTAGTCAGAGAACGTAAACTCTGCCAAGGCAGGGGTTTGGGTTTAATTAGTTCACTGCTGTGCCCGTGAATTTAGAACTGTATCTGGCACTCAGGATATTTGTGACGTGAACGATACACAAACGCGTTCCCAGGTGCAGCAGCTGTTTAAGCTGCCCCAGAGGTGGGCATCATGTTTAATAAAATACAGCAGGAGACATTTTTAGTAGTTCCTGCCAGTGTATTTAATGAGAAGGCCTGATTCCTTTTGATTATAAATTATTCAGTGGATACGTGTCTGCTGACGTTCTCAGGTTGTTTCATGGACGTATTTCCGCCAGTGTGCTGGTGTCCCCACCGCAGAGCCACGTGGTGTCGTGGCCACGCCTGTGGGGGGCCGTGTGCCCTTGGGAGCCCGTCACGGGTGGCGGTGGAATGCTGCTTGCTGTGTTTATGAAATAAGTGAACTCAGATTCTGTCGGTGTGAGGTGGAGGTTGCATTCTCACTACCCTCTTTTTAACAAGTGAATTTTCAGGTCTGAAGAAATATGGTAAATCGGTGGGGATGTTCTTGGATTAAAGAAGCGCGCACTAACGGATGCACTTGCTGTGTGTGCGTTCTAGTCCGTCCCGTCCTGCAGGGTTCAGCCTGGGTGACGCGTGGCCTGCCTTTCTGCACACGCACGCTGAGCAGTGACTGCTTCCCCACCGCGACAGGGAAACGGGGGCGGTGAGGATGGCGGCTGTTGGGCTGCTGGTCCTGCCGGAGAAGCAGGGGCAGCCTTCCTGATGGGCGCCTCTGTTAAGTGTGGCTGTGTCTGCTCCGCGGGGACCCCGCAGTGGTTCTCAGACTGCTGGGCCTCAGAACCCCCTGCACCCACAAAGGCTGTTGAGGACGACGGGCGCTGAACCTACCAAGAGGTGTCACGTTACAAGCTAAAATTTCAAACGACTTGAAATAGTTACGTATTGGTCCAGCTAAAAATAACAATAAACAATAAAAAAAACCACATAAAACATTTTAATGAAAAACAGCGGTTTTCCGAAACAAAGCTAATCGGAGTGGTGGTGTTCACCTCTTTACAAAGCTCTTAGTGTTTAGCTTAATGGGAGGCTGCTTGATTCTTCTGACTGCCCCCGCGTCTGATGTATGGTTTTAGCTGAAATAAAGAAAACGTGGCCTCAGATCCGTGCTTGGAGTACGTCGGTAGCCTTTTCAAAAAATTGTGGATGCTGCACGAAGCCTCAAAGGCAGCTGGTTTCCCCGTGGATCTAACACCATGTCAGGGAGCTTCTCGGACCCTAAAATGGGTTTGTTTTGTGCTTTGAATCAACCGCTTACCCGTGTGTGATTCTGTTTCAGTGAATTACTGTCTTATCCAGATCTTCCAAATGTTGACAGATTTTATCATATAATAATTTTCGAAAAACACATTTGTTAATAATACCACCAGTGTCGTCAGAAAACTCTTTTAAGTTTTGGGGAGCTGTTGGTTGAGATCTTGGTGACAGATGCAAGTTTTCCAAAATTCTAGGTGTTCTTTGCTTGAAAGCTTAAATTTTACCATGGGCAACAAACGCCGTCCATTGTTCTGTTCCTTTCACTCCAGAGTTTTCTTCCTAAAATATAGGTCCAATCGTGGCTCTTGCTGGCCAGTCTCCATGACTTGGACCCCAGCCCTCAGCATTTTGACAGTTTCCAGCCTTGCTTTAAGCCTCTACATCCAAAAAACTTTTTTTGGTATTTTTTATTGAAGTCTAGTTGATTTACAATGTTGTGTTAGTTTCAGGCGAACAGCAAAGTGATTCTGTTGTATACATATACATATGTTCTTTTTCATGTTCAAGACACTGAACACAGTTCCCTGTGCTGTACAGTAGGTCTTTGTTTATGCATTTTATACATAGTAGTGTGTGTATGTTAATCCCAAATTCTTAATTTATCTCTCCACCTTCCCCTTTGGTAAATAACCATAGTTGATTTTCTATGTTTCTGTGTCTGTGTGTCTGTGTCTGTTTTGCAAATAAGTTCATTTGTGTCAGGGGTTTTTTTCTTATTAGATTCTGCATAAACGTGATATGATACTTGCTCTTCTGTCATACTTACTTCACTTGGATATGATCATCTCTAGATCCATCCACATTGCTGCAAGCCTCTACATTAAAAAAAAAGTCTTAAAACAACATAAATTTATTACTCTAATGGTTCTAGAGGTCAAAAGTCCAAAATAGGTCTCCCTGGGCTCAAGTCCAGGTTCTGGAGGGTGTGCTCCTGAGAGAGCCTGCTCCCTGGCCTTTCTCGGCTTCTAGGGCGGGTCCCCTGACAGCCCAAGCCGGCAGTGCTGATGGAGCCTCTCACAGCCCACACCTCTGACACTGCCTCCTCCTCCCCCATCCTCCAGGGACCCGGTGATTCCATCAGACCCACCCCAGGAATGTCTCCTCATCCAGGATCGGCAGATTAGCACCTTCATTCCTTCTGCAGCCTTACCTCCTCCTTGTGGTGTCATTTAACGCAGTCACAAGTTCCTGGAAGTAGGATGTGGACATTTTGGGGTTGGGGGGCATCGTTCTGGCTGTCACATTCAGGCCTCCCAGTTCGTATGTTTCATTCCCACTGTGTGTGGACGCTGGATAAGCAGCACATGATTGCAGAGCCTTGCTGAGTCTCCAGGTGGAGCCACGACTTGCTCTTCTACCAAGACAGACTCACAAGTGAATCTGTGGGCTGTGAGCCTCATTCATCCTCGTTTCTCTCACTGCTCTTGGGGTACGTGGCACATGATAGACAAGTAGCCATATGTTGTCAACTTTGGACATTTGATATCACATGGGCTGTTTTAGAGGCTATTGAACGAATGTTCAGTTTCTTTGGTGTGATAGTGGCATTACCATTACTCAGGTGAGTGTCATTCTTAGGAGTTACCAAAATTCTTGGGTCAGGTGTCATGGTAGCTATTAGAGCTCCCGATCAGATGGTTCATGAGAAAAGTGTAAACTTATATATATATAAAAAAAGCAAATGTGGTCAAATGTTAAATATTGGCAAACGTAGACAAAGAGTATGCAAATGTTCATTTAACTTTTCCAGACGTTTGGACATTTTCATTTTCAAAGTAGAAAATGGGAAAAAATGAGATGTTAAAGCAGAATGAATGTACGGAAGCTGTGGGTTGGGATGGAGCAGGGTTCCTGGAAACCTGGTTTGCTGTGTTGAAGTCATAAAAGTCTAGCTGTTGACTCGCATCTTCGTGTGTGTTTTTGGCTCAGCAGTCATTCTCTGTGGGCTCACATTAGGTGCAAATCGTGTTTAGGAAGTATCACTAGACCTCCCCCAGGAGAGCGCAGGGGTGTGTACAGCGGAGAACTGGGACGATTGAGGGAACAAGAACTGTCTGTGCCACTCGCCTGGGAGGTTCTTCCTCGGTGCCCCTTGGGGGAGTGCCCATCGCTCATTCAGTGGCCACTCTGGGCCCTCGATCCCATTCCTTCGGGGACTGCAGGCTCGTCATGACGGGGGCATTCCTCCATCTACAGCTGTGTGTGGCCCTTCCTGAAGTCTCAGGGGAAGGGACACGCAGTGCTGGCTAGGACAGCGCCCCAGGGCTGCGTACCGTGCACTGGGACTCTGATGCCACGTGCCAGGGTCAACTTGGGTGGAAGCGTGGCCATCGCACAGGTGGGAGTCCCGCTGTTTCCTGAGGATGAAGCTAAGGTTTTCAGTCCCTCAGTGCCAGTGTCAGGAGAGGACTCACTCCCCTCGGGGCCCCTCGCACGGCCCCCGAGCTTTCGCAGCTCCATCTCTGTGCCCTCAACGTGTGCAAGTCGTCTGTCAAGACGATCCTTTGCTGTCATTCTTACTTGAGATACGATCACACGTCAGTGGAGATAATGTGTAGATCCTCTGGCCTGGAGGCCGCCCACACCGATTCCCCGGCGTCTCCCCTGCCCAGTCAGCGGTGCCCCCACCCAATGCTGCTCCATCTCCGTGGTGAGATGCCCCCACCACCTGGCTTCGGTTGGTGTTACAGCTGAACCAAGTCATTCCACCCTGTGACGACCACAGGCTTGGAGGTTCTGGGGCCAAAGCAGTTTAACAGTCTCTCCTTTGTCTCCCAGGAGCCTGAAGCCTCATCTCATCCCTCCTGAGACGTCTGAGCTCCAGTCCAGGACCCAAGGCTCCCCGGGTGCCGGGGTGACCAGTCTTCCCGCCACAGTCCAGGTACAGTCTGCGCGCCAGCACCCCGGCAGGAGAGCCGGCTCTTTGGTGCTGGAATGTTATTTGTTTAGGCCTTTCGTTGGCCGTTGGCTTTTTAAGTTCACTGACAAGTAAGCCCTAAGTAGTCTTTTTCGTGTCTGACTGCTGTGCTTTTTCAGCCTCATCCAGCTCTTCCGTCCCATCTGCTCATCAGAAAAGCCTTGTCTTTTCGCTCTGGTGGCTTCTTGAATTCCTGGCTTCACTTCTAGCTCGTGCCGACCTCTCAGCATCCTGGATGGCCAGGCCTCCCGCCCAGGGCCTGGTCAGCAGGGCATGCTGGGGGGAGAGGGTGTCCGCTCCCTTGTGGCGCAGACCCCGGGCGCTGTGTGGTCTGCAGCCCTCGGAGGGACGGTGCCCGGGGGCGGCCGCGGCACCGGGCCCGTGATGCACCTGTTCTGGGTCTGCCTTTGACTCACGGAGCCTCCCGTTTCTCAAGTTCAAGGGCCAGGCCAGTCTCCATCCTGCCCCCAGACTGCTCGTCTGGCTCCTGTTCCTCTGCCCTGCTTTTCACTCTTTACTTCAGACTCTCCCGTAGCTGGTTCCTGGGTGTCAGTGCTGTAACGACCGCTGTCGGTCAGCGTGTTTCAGGCTGGACCTTAGGGGGTCCTTGGAGCCCCGGGGCCCTGGGGGGAGGTCAGGGTCAGCCAGCAGGGCTCCACGACCCCGTTGCCCTTAAGTAAGAGCGGCTCCAGCTTCGCCTGATGCTTATATTTGGCTTTGGCAGAGGATGTAGTTTGGAGAAAAAGGATCTGCTGTGAAAATGCTTGAAAGCTGTTGCTCGGTTATTTTTTTGATTAAAATAACAGGTTCACTGAGTATGGAGACTTTGTCGTTTTTGTCACTGCTTTATTCATCACAGAGGTTTTCAGGGGTGTGTGTGTGTGTGTGTGTGTGTTTAGTAAAAGAACCACCCCGACCTTCCTCGCTCCCTCTCACGCTCTCACGGCCCCGCGGGACCGCTCACAGTCTCGCTTCCGAGCCTGCAGCCCCGTGAAGAAGTCGCACACACAGTCAGCAGCCCTCGCCGAGCCCGCCGTCGAGGAGCTGGGTCGGGGGCGTAACCGTGACCTTGGCCTCATGTCGGCACCGTTGAGCCCACAGGCTGCCTTGGGGGACAAGGGGGGCAGGACTCCCCAGCCCCGTGTTCCCCGAGGTTTCTGCTCTGAACCCCGGTGTATGGATGAGGCTGTTGCAGCTTGCAAGTATCAGAAGCAAAGGCGCAGGGTGACCAGGTGCACTTCTCCTCAGGTGAGATCCTTGCAGCAGGGAGGTGGGAGGTTTTCCCATCCTAAGCCTTGGATATCCTCTTCCTTTCTTCTCCTTTTAGGGGACTGTTTAGCAAAAGTGCCTAAGTCATCCTAAGTTAGGGCCAGTTCATTCTGCCTTGTCCCTCCTCTTGCTGCCATAGCAGACGTGTCTCTGCTGTCTTAGGGACGATTCTAGAGTCTGCTCCTCTGTTACCAATACCCGGCCTTGTGGGGACTACTCACATCTGAGTGAAAAGCCTCAGGTGTTGGTTTCTCGGGGTCAGCAGTGCTGTGATGAGCGGGGCAGGGGTCCCTCGTTGGCTCCTAGGCCTGCAGCACAGGCCCTGGGCCGTGTCTGGATCAGGGCCCTCACAGGTGACAGTCTGGCCAAGACAGTGCTGGAGACCTTGGCCTCTGCTGCTTGGTCGTGCTCTTTGCTTTACCATGTTGTCTTCTCCTGCCAGGAGGGCAGGGAGTGTGTCCCTTCCCTGCGGTTTCCTCCACACAGAGAAGGGAGAGGCACGTAGTAGGTGGCAGGTAAATACTTGTGTGATGGATGGTCACTGGGGTCTTTTCCCAGGATGGGCACTCTGAGCGCAGGGACAGCGAATCGCTTATCTTTGCAGCTCTGGTAACTCCTCCAGGAGTGGCACAGGGTAGACACACTATTTTTAAAAAGTGAAATAATGGCCACTTAACATAGACCATTCTTGCAGAAAGAGGAAATTACTTTCAATCATTCTGCCTAACCAAGAAAAGACAGTTTCAGGTGAAGTAAAGGTGAAGTCCATCACTGAAGCCCAGAGAGCGTAAGAAATATCGGGGCCTGTTTTGGGTCCTTGAAGGTTTAAAGAGAACATAGATGCAGACTCACGTATGATCTCATGGCTGCCTGGCCCACGGGTTAGTCAGCTGTCACTGTGGACAAATCGCAGACTCACGTCTGCCTTGTCACAGTGTCTCTGGTCACGAGTGAGAGCGTGGCTTGGCTGGGTGCTGTGCTCCGGGTCCCACAAGGCTGCGGTCAGGCTATGAACTACGGCTTGGTTCTCACCTGAAGGCTCACCTGGGGTAGAATCTGCATCCGCGCATCCTCAGGTTGTGGCCAAACCCATTTCCTCACGGTCCAGCCCCATCCTCTGGTGCGTTTTCTCCTGGCCTTTGGTCGTTCAGTCAAGCATTCCGGGATCCACGGGCCCTCATGCAGTTGGCCATTTGCTTCCGATGCCTCAGAGTTAGTGCAGGCAACCGGCGTGGCATTTTCTATCGCAGACTGTTACCACCTACTGCCCCTGTCCTCCAAGTGTTCCCGTAAACGGAAAACCTCGTGGTGGGGGAAAGGGCGACAGGTGCTCCTTGGACTGAAGATGGGAAGGGTGGCCAGCCTCAAGCGTGGGGGGCTCTGGCATTTCTTTCAGATTTTTGATGCTTTTCTTTCGGGGTGAATATCTGAAATCTTGGCCACCAGTGAAGTGAGTTACCAATATGCCAGCAAGCCCTATCATAAAACATGGCATTTCCTGCCAGATGTTAATTCTGCAGGACGAGCCCTACGCAGATAATCCCCATGGTAACCAGGGGCGTGGACACTCCCTGTATCTCAGGGCTCGGAGGAGAAGCAGCAGAGACGGGGAACAAGTGGCAGGTAAATAAGAAGCGTACAGCACTCGCTTCCGCAAAGGGCTTTATCAGCTGGACTAAAACATCGCGCCTCAAGGTAAATGTATCGATTTGCTACCTGAAGAAAGAGGTCTGGGTCACGAGCGGCTGGCGGGCTGGTGCCCTTTCCCCCTCCAGTCTGTCCTGCACAGCAGGACCTGAGTAATCGTCCAGGTCTGGTTTGTTGATGCCCTTCCTTTGCCTAAAACCTTCACGTCTCCAGCGTGAACCTCTCGGCTGCGCACCCGGCTCACCTAAGCCTGTGGTCCTGGCCGGCCCTGGTCCCCACGGCCCGTCGGGCACTCCCACCTTAGCTGTCCCTTGTCGACGAGGGTCACCTGGGGCTTCGTCTCCCGGGAGGGCCAGGGCGTGACCTTGACCTGCGAGAGCTGGGAGGTGAGCAGTAATTCGCTTCTGTCCCGCACAACGTGTGGCGCAAAACCACGTTTGCAGGTTTTTCTCTCTCAGCAGCTGTTGGCTTTTGAACAACCTGTGCACCTCTTCATTTTTGTTTTCCTTCAGTCTCTTCTTTGGAACTCACATTGCCTTTTCTGATCTGATTCCCTAAATGGTACAGATTTAGGCTCAGAGAGGTGTCCAGGGGCCTGGCCCCTGAGAGGTAAGCCCATCTCTGCCAATTATAGATCCTTTACTCTTGGCTGTTTTTCTAGGTGAAAAATGGCCGAATATTGACAGTTTCATATGGTTCAGCCCAATCCTATAAAAGACTAAGTAACTGACTGACGTGAGCTGTGTGTTGGGGCACGCGGGGCTGTTCTGGCCGCAGGGGTACTCGTCTCAGAGAGAGTTTCCTCACTGTTTTCCAGGTGAGCCCTGGTTGAATTCCTTTCTCTTCGCATTTACTTTTGGAAATTTCCAGACACACACGTGTAGAGAGAAAGCATAACCACCAGTTACCACGCCTCCCTGGTCAACTCTTTGAGAGATTTCCTTCCTCTTAATTCAGAGGTACACACACTGGAAAAATGACAAAACGCTGAGAAAAAAACCTGATAAACTCCCGTCCAAACTACCTTGATGGTCCTTCTAGACCATTCTTCACACTCATAGATGTTATATTGTTTTTAGGGGATGCTCTACCTGCTGTTTTGACACTTCCCCTGCTTTTATCAGGCACACGATGTCTCCAACATAATGTTTAACCTGTCTGCTTTGGCCAGCTCCCTCCCTCTGAGTCTTCGCCTCTGCATCTGTGTGCTCTCCAGAACCTTCTGCTGAAGCCCCGGTTGCGCCCTGCTGCCCACATTACCTACTTGTCCTCAGTCCCAGATAAAGCTCCTTTTGCCTCAAAGCGAGTGGATCTTGGCCGGCTGGAGAGAAGTGGGTGGGTGCCTTGATTCACTCCGCTGTATGAATAACTAATTGACTGCAGTTTTACTGGAGTAATGGCTTTCAAGAAGGGGTGTTCTTAACCCACGTGGATCTTTTTTTGGTAGGATTTCAGACAGGGTGACAGAGTTCTTCAGGCAACAGGAAGAAGAGACTTGATCAAAGTTGTGTCACTTGGCACCTGGCGTGGGACAGGGCTTCTGGAATTAGATGACTGAGTTCAGATCCAGCCTCCCCTGTGTACAGGTTAGGTGCCCGTGCGACCCCCAGCTGAAGTCCACTCTGGCTGTTGGGAGAGGACTGACAGTTGCCACTCTGCTGGTCTCTGGTGAGGACAAAATGAGCTCGCGTGTCCTGGCCATCCCTGCATTGGAATCTGCACCTGGAAGCTGCCCTGCCGAGTGGCCGTGTGGCCATGCGGACCCCAGGGCCCTCCTCCAGGGCCGCCTCCTTTGGCGGCTGGAAGTCAGGACTGAGAGGCAGAACCTCTGTTTTTCCATCAGGACTTAGAGCTCCCAACGCAGGGCTGCGCTGTTGTGTGTGGGACCTCAGAGGCCTCGGGCTCTTCCTGCAGTCAGCTCTGCTGAATCGGCAGGAAGCGCTGGCCTCGGGGGCAGGCCTCCTGGGGCTTGGCTCTCTGCTGAGACCGAGGGTGGTAGGCTCCGTGAGGTTCAGCCATCACGGAGGACCCTGTGGCCCCCAGGCCAG